TAGGGAAACACAACCTACAAAGTTAACTTTAAAATCTTCATTAAAGGAAAGCTAATTTAGCTGCAAAGACAAACTCCCAATTATAAGAAAATGCCTGATCTACAATTAGCATTGTAGGTTTAATTTGAATCTAAGGTATGCATGCATTTATAGCATCACCAAACTACATTTCCTACCTAATTCAAAGAAGAAGATAGAGTCAAACTACTGTTTCATAGGTAGATGTAAGCCTGATATTTCCCAGTTTTTCAGTGCTCAATTTTGGAATTTGAATGTGATTGCATATATATATCTAATCTTTCTTTCTTTCATATATACATCTAATCTTTCTTATGTGATTGCATATATACATCTAATCTATATGACCTAAACTAGAACAATATTCCTGTGTGTGCATTACACACAGCTATAAATATACCTGTGAACCAGATTCATCATTTCAAGAGATTTTTAGGGGGAAAAATAACACAAAATATCTTAAAATGTAAAAAAGGCAACTAATTTCTGTAATAGATAAGATCAAAGAAAAACAGCAGAAAGTTCAGTTGGGCTAAGCATATTCCTTCAGATACCAACATATAAACAAATATATGTATTTACATTGTGTCAGGATGGCAATCTTTCAGCAGAAAGCATATTGCAAAATCAGCTTGTGAAATAAGTTTTTAAAATGAAATGGATATTTCATAGAGATAACACAGTCAACAGTGATGAAGTGGAAAATAAGAGTACAAGTTCTCAAATTATTTCCTGCTTTTCAGGAAGCTTTTCTTTGAAAAATAGTCTATTGGGAATTATTTCTTATTTCAGAATCAAAAAAATTAAAGTAATAAATGATTATACATAAATATCCTGTTAGAGCTTTCTTTTATGGCAATACATCTAGTTTGAAATTTTTAGAATGATTTTTTCCAAATAAATTATTTTGGCATTTTATTTTCTATTGAAAAATAATAATGTCAACAGCATTAGTAAATACCATTTTTAAGCCAATCATTTGTGATATAGATGTATCTAACGAGATCCTGACATGACATTTCGTAAAACTCAGCTCTCTTCTCTGAAATACAGATGATAATGGTTGTAATTAAAGATCAGGCGATGGTGAGATTTTTAAGGGAAAAAATCTTTCAACAAAAATTGAGCTCTAGAGGTCTTATGTATTTCCTTTTCTGTATATTTTTTTGTACTGGATAACACATATAGTTGATGCTGACACAAGATTGAGAAGAAATAAACAGTACAGTACACTTTTTTCCTCAAAATTTTGAAAGCATGCAGTCTCATGGGTGCCAGGAACTGATTTTAAATTTGTCACCTGATGCCAAGCTATTGCTATGGTGTAACAACTTATTTGAAAAAATTTAATGGTCAGTCCAAAATCAACTATATACAATTCACAACACAAAACTGGCAATTTAAAATTGGTTTTCTGATTAACATTTTTAACAAGACAGTTTAAGAATAGAGTGGATCTTCTATGATTTACCTTTGCACTCAGGTTGTCTTCCTGTCCAACTTCCATTTGCCATACATGTCCTTTCTTCTGAGCCATGGAGGATATATCCAATATCACAGCTGAAATGTACTGTGCTTTTAATTTTAAAATTGTTTTGTTCTCTAGACCCATGACCTGGGATACCTGGATCACCACAAGAGCCAGCTGTATCACCTAGAATTTAGAGTGCAAAGATTAGAATACATATTAAATAATATTATGGCACTGCATTTAAAATATATGTTTATATGTATTTATAAATGAATTTATATTTCTATTTTTAGAAAAAAACATATATCTCAGTGGGTCCGAGTCCCTGTGATTACAAAATTACTTGATTCTCAAATAATTTCTTTTTACTTATTTTATATAAGTACAGAACAGAAATTATGACTACCTCAAGGTAGCCCTTAGACCATGCTAAACTTTCGGTAATAGAATCATCAAACAAGAATAGGGGAACAAAAAGAAAACCACAAAACCTTGGTCATTTTTCATTTAAAATAAGGAATTCTGAGGAAAACCAACATCTTGATCATAAAGATAATTTTCTTGTTTGCCTATAACAAGTGTTTCTAAAACACTTCCTAGTTTTATGGTATCATTAGAGCTGTAAGAGTTTTACCATTGAATGAAAGCTCTAGTCAATAATTTTATGTACATCCGACATGAAGAATTTCTCTTGTTTATAGAAATGTTGAACGTTCACTTCAAGACTGCCTGATAGCCAAAAACTCCTTAAGCTAGAAATGTTTAAGCAAATTCTAAGTTAGAGGGTTAATGTTTTCTACTATGTGTTGTGTATCAATGTTAAAATAATGAACATGGTCATAATAATAATATCTAAGATTATACATCTAAATCTTCATTTATGGTAAGAACTTTTAGGAAGCTCTAGGTAACACTGTATTTGCACAGCACATCAGTTGTTTAAATCTTTTAGTATGTACTTAGGATCTGCTGTTTTATCTTTTTAAAAGTCTTTAAACTAGTTTTTTATGTAGTAAGAGGTAAAGGTATATTGTATTACTGAGTTTCAACACAAAAGAGTTGAATTCTAGAATTCTTGAAGGGGCCTGTTCAGGTTTTCACCCATAGATACTCAGCTCAAGGTTTTCTGTGACAACTTGCAAATAAACTAAACAGTCTTCTGTACAAAAAATAATTCAAACATCATAATATTTTTGAGAGCATATATGCCTTATTTTGTACTTAGTTACACTAATGTAAAGAATAAATATTTCAGCTACAAAGCTTTAATTTAGCTACTGAAGAACTTCATATTATAGCTTCACATTAGAGATAATTATATTAAAAGATTCATACAAATTATGTAAAGAATGCTTTCTGTAGAATAGCCATACTTTTCTGGTATTTATCTAAGCTTAAATAGCAGTAATAAGAGAAGTTCTTACACTGAAGTAATAAACAAAGCTATCTGCTCCAAGTACCCAGAAGATCAAAAGTGACAAACACACTATCTAGGCATTCTATGGGAAGTTAGGACCCTGGAGTTGTAGATGCAGAGAAAAACAGAGCTTCCCTTAGCTCGGTTGGCACTGTATGGGTGTAACCTATACTGTTGGAGTGACTGATTGGACACACCTTGTTACTAACAAAAGCATGTGCAGAACTGAATAGTGAAAGAAAGAAGAGTAGAACTAGCTAACTTTGCTTTGAGAATTACGGTGTATGAGCAAATACTTTTTTTTGTCCTATACGTCCAAGAAGCTGACAATATTTTTGTCACTTATGTAGTTCATGTGCCAACCTGCAGTTTTGTAGGTCATGCTTACTACTTATGTCTTTTCATATAAGCCATGCTTCCTTCTTTCCTCACAAATTAATTGAAAAACAATGTAATTCATCACCTCACAGGAGCTGCTCTGCACAACTCCTATGGGCTTGTGGGAAAAGAGAATGCAGCTGAATCAGTCTGAAGGCACATCTGAAGCATCAAAGAAAAGGGCAGAACTTTGCTTGGAAATGCAAAAGAGAACAAAGCTGGCAGCTCATACTACCTATCCAACCCCTTGCTGAAGGAGCTGACAAAGTAGGCTAATCGTGATTCACTCACTAATTTAGGAGTCAATTTTATCATCACCTAAGTTAACAAAGCTTAAACAGACACCTTTCATTTGAAAATAATCAAACCAATGTAGTCATGCCTATTATATTGTGAACTTTTTATAGCATGTCTGTGCAAAAAGCACAGGTCCTATGTCTTGACAGAACAAGGGATAATGGTTTTAAACTAAAAGAGGGTAGATTTAGACTTGACATAAGGAAAAATTTTTTTACAATGAGGGTGGTGAAGCACTGGAACAGGTTGCCCAGAGAGGTGGTGGAAGCCCCATCCCTGGAGGCATTCAAGGTCAGGCTAGATGGGGCTCTGAGCAACCTTATCTAGTTGGAGATGTCCCTGCTCACCTCTAAAGGTCCCTTCCAGCCCAAATGATTCTATGATTCTATGTATTTTAATGCTTTCAGAAATAACAAATTAACTCCAGTAAGTATAAGAGCTAGCTGACTATCTGGTTCAAAATCATAGACTCAAAAGTTTAGGCTTTTCCCTGGTTACCCATTTAACTATGTGACACAGATCAGTAAAGCAGCCTGCCAGCCTTGTTTAAAAAAAAAATTGCGAATAGTTCCAAATTATAGTAAGTAAAAGAATTTTATAAGCTTTCAAAATATGTCACGTCCAAGTTACTTCGGTGACTTAACATCCCTCTAGTTTGAAAATAGTGTGCTACATATTTTTACGATAACTCAAAAATGTCCCAGATCAAGATATTTTCTGTTATTTTGGAATCCATATCTTACATTTTCCGGTATTATTTATTTAGACTATGAATAATTTGGTGCAGGGCCTATTCATTATTCTACACTTGTAAAATCTCTACAATAACAGCTTAGGTTTCAGCAAGTTACTTGGCATTATGCCTAAAATAACTTTATGATGAAAAAATGAAAACAGGCTTTTTGCTATGCACAGTATAAATTACATATTCCTCTTGTAAATGAAATCATGTGTTCTTTCCTAATGCCTAATTACTACTGTGAATTATTACTCTTTTAATCTTAGGGAGGTTAACCACTAGCTCTTTTGATTGAAGGTTACAGAAATAATTTTTCTAAATGATTCATCACATCAGGAAGTGACAGTGATATAATCAATGATATAATAACAGAACATATTTTTATTACCTCATGCAGAGATTCAACTAAGTGATTTTCACAGTCAGTTATGAGCCATCCTTCACCCACATGTGTAACAAATTCTCATTTGGCATTTAATCTTAATGAAAAGGAGGGTATTTAGACCACTTAAGTAAGTACACAACCATTGCTGCACTTATGAGGAATTCTAAGTTGCTGCAAATTTCTGACTCCAGCTGATATGCACGTAATGACTGAAAATTGCTTCTGAATGCCCATAAATATCAATGGCACATGACAATTCCTCCTAGCTCTAGGATGTGAAACATAAATTACTATGTGACAAAAAGGAAACTGTCTTAGGGATGATGTGACAAAATTCTCTTACCTTATGTTCACTAATCTAGTATTTTCTGTTTGAATTCTCTTCCATATATGAAAAGGACAAGCACGCTGTATCTTTTGTCAGTTGAACTTTCTATGTTATTTATTACTAGTATCATCAACAAAAATTACAAAGTTTAAGGCTTTGATATGCATTAAAAATAAAGAAATCAAGTTATCAAGGTTAATAATGAAAGCTAATGATTTCACATATTTTTAGATAGAAAATATGGAAATTTTGTACGGTAAACCGCAAATTATTTTAAAATGAGAAAGGCTATTTCAGATATACATATTGAAAATGAAGTCTTCAAGTTGTCGTAGACTAGAATTACAGTTTCTTACAGTACTGCTAAAGAAAGTAACAGTTTGCATTCTGTCACAATTTGATTCACTATGATTAACGTGCCAAATAAATGTTTCTTCATGTATTGAGAAAAATTCACTAGATCTGATTAGAGTTTCCTATCTGTAGGTACAAAAATCACCATTGGAAAAAAAAGAATTTTCATGTATCTCACTTACGAATGCTTATCCCAAGATATCAGAACACTTATTTAATTTAATAGCAGGATGATTATAGAATAGTCTTATTTTCAGTAAGTTTTCTTTGATATTTTTATGTACATTTTTAGGTTTCTTATTTGTATTCCTTGATATTTTTGTCTATTTCTTCAATTTTTTTTCATTCACAACTTAGACTTTTTTAAATTATTTTTTTTTATGAAGACTGTGGAAAACTACAATAAGTAGCTTTATATTTTATCTAAAGAGGATTCTTTTTCTCCAAAACAAATATGTAAACATACTAGCTTTAAAAATATTGTTATTACCCTAGTTTGAATTTGCAATTCACATAAATATATTGTTATTTATTAAGTAATATTATTTTACAATAAGTTTTGATTTCTGGTGCATAGCTCTAAACATCACAGGTTATAAGAACTTGATCTTTGTTCCCATTGTGGCAAAATTCCCTCTGATTTTATTGATAGAAAATTAAGGGATGAAATTTTACCTAGTTTCTGTCATGTTAGGATGTAATGGCAGATTACTGAAAGAAGAGGGACTCATAGAGCAAGATAATAACATTGAGATTGTCCTTGTCTGTAATCACTTCCTAAAAGTATCCAGTGGAGGGTTCAAATACTAAAAATTCTTCCAATTCTTTGGAACTTAGTGCAAGACTTTAACCAAGCAGCACTATTTTAATATTTGTTATTACTTTTTAACCATTTCTGTGATATGGTTGTAAAAAAAAAAAAGCATAGTCTGAAACTGTAGCTGACATAATCAATTTACATCTGAATACACTAAAGAGATGAAGGCAGGAAGAAAAAAACAAGAAGGATTGGAATATGTGAGACTCCACCTGGAGTACTGTGTCCAGTTCTGGGGTCCCCAGTACAAGAAGGGCATGGACCTGTTAAGGCAAGGCCAGAAAAGGGAAGGCTCCTGGGAGACCTTATTGCAGCCTTTTAGTATGTAAAATATATAAGAAAAATGGAGAGACTTTTTATCAAGGCCTGTAGTGACAGTACAAGGGGCAATAGTTTTAAACTGAAAAAAGGTAGGTTTAAATTGGACATAAGGAAAACATTTTTTACAATGAGTGTCGTGAGACACTGGCACAGGTTGCCCAGAGAAGTTGTGGATGCCCCATCCCTGGAAGTGTTCAAGGTCAGGTTGAACAGGGCTTTGAGCAACCTGATTGAGTTGAAGATGTCCCCACTTATTGCAAGAGAGTTGGACTAGGTGATCTTCGGAGGTCCCTTCCAACCAAACCATTCTATGATTCTATGATTCCAGTGGAAGATGCCCCTGCCCATGGCTGCAGAATTGGACTGGACGATTTTTAAAGGTCCCTTCTGACCCAAACCATTCTGCGATTCTATGATTTACTATTGGTGTACAGAATCTTGGATTTTTAGTGTGAAATTGATATGGCAGTACTGTCAGATTTGCATATCAGTTATTTTTCACCACTTGTTTTAGCATAGCTGTAACCCCAAAAAAGTTTCTCACTTGTTTTCTTCCTTTTTTCTGCCTTTGAGGTTATCTAAGTAATCTGAATTACATAGGTCTGAATAAGGCCAAAATCCCACTGATTTCTTTAAATTATATAAAGAAAACGTAAGAATGACAAGAAAGATCCTCCACCTAGTATTTATTGAGAATTAAAACTGATAACACGATTAACCTCTCTCATGATCTGTGTTTACATACTCTAAGATAAGAAATGGGATTTAGCCAAATCCCAAATTAGTGTGTGACTTGGATTTCTGTTTTTCACTTGATCACTGCTGCTAAAGTGAATCAAACTGAAGTTGTGAAATAGAACATTCCTAAGTATTAAATATTTCAGAAAATACATCTTGACTTCAGTGAGGGCTAACTTATTACAAGGATTAGATGATGAGCCTTTAAAAACCGAGCATTCTGTCTTGAAACTATGTGGAGCCTGCTTGGCCTTATTATAAAGAGGGATGTATGATGCAATGATATACTTGAGGTGTCATCAAGTCAGTAGATATTTTGCAAGTTAAAAAAAATTAACCCATCATCTTGAAGAGATAATAATGCAAGGTTTCCCTGTGGAAATTAATACTCTTTCCGGAAGTCATATATTTTCAAAACAAACTGGTTCCTTTAACATTCTATTGAATGTGCAATTTCCTATTTGTATTAAGTGTCACTGAGAAAGCTTACTTCTCCCAAAATATTTTCTTGCTAATAGTTCATACTTATTTTGGTTTTGCTTTTTTTACTTCTGCTGAGATAGTACTTCAGTTTTATACATGATTTTCCGGATGTTAAAATGGCCTTCTGATAAAATAAATTCAAAACAACTTCAGGGCACACTCATTAATTCAAAAATATTACCTGAGCAATGAGGCAGAGATCCACTCCAGTGTCCATTCAACTGACATGTACGAGATGACTGCCCTAACAGCGATCGTCTACCTGTGCAGGTATAATGAACAGTAGACCCAAACGTATATTTATCTCCAGACAGGACCGCGTTAGGAGGAATGCCAGGATGGCCACAGTCAATCACTACAATGCATAATTATTGGAGATAAAAAAGGGTTATTATCACTGATCAAACAGTTCATAGTTATCATTTTTATAACACCATACATAAACTTTGTAAAGAGGCTGACCTTTTCAGGGTTTGGGGGAGGGGGGCACATTATGTGATTAGAAATGCATAAAATATTACAGCCCAAAAGCTCTGAAACAAATGTTTGGAGATGTCAAAAAGATATAGATATTGATGCCCAAGACACTCATTCACTAAGTTGATCTTTCTGGCATGAACACATGTGTGCGCGCGTGCGCGCGCACGCGCGCGCACACACACTCACTCACATATACTCTCCAGAGAAAAAATACAAGAAGACAGTATCTGCCAAAGCCATGGCTGAGGCAGAGAATATGCAGACCTTCATCTCTCATCCAGCGGTCCCAAATCATTGGTCGTGAAGTCTATCAGGTTTATAAACAAGATCATTTCTGCTAAATTTTGCTATGAACCTTAATGCTAGTATACGAATTTCATATTCATGGTTTTGGTTACTTGAAATATCGTACTGCATAAATAAAATATTTGTTTACGTATTTTTAACATATTCCTAGGCATCATTCATTGATGTTAATTGCACAGAGATTGGAGAGAATTTCCATAGGATCCCAATCTTAGAAATGGTCATGGACAAACTCCCTATCAGTTGCTTATTGAGTCTTTTTTTTTTTTAATAATTGCTAGTTATTTCCATACTGTGATTAATTTTTAGTACTCAATCTTGACATTTTTGTGATTTCCACTTACAGATTGCACATAAGGGTATCCAGCAGTTAGCTTATATACACTTAATTTTGCGAACTGGCTCAAATGTCATGAAGTATGTAAACTCAGGAAAGAAAACAGGAACATTTAGCATGATATCTTTTGTCCTTTAGTTGCCTCATACAGAAAATTATTGTAAGTGGCTCTTGCTATAAATCAAAAACAGTAATATTTTAGGAATAAAAAACAGGCTAAATGATAGAAATCTGATCTAAAATCAGGATAACACCACTGAAATAATTTCAGCAACCTCCTATCTACTGGAAAGTTGTATAAAGTGACAGTGAAGCTGCCTTGGCTAGATCAACAGGAAGACTAAAGTGAAATGACAGAAGGTCTTATGCATCATTATGGAGAACATTATCTACATGGACAATGTATATAAAGGAAACAAAGTTCTGTATTGAAAACAAATATCTAGTCTGTCTTTTAAGATTAAGAGCACATATCAAAAATGTACAAAAGGTACAAAAGAAACCCCCTCACGTATGGAATTAACATAGAGAAAACTTTTAAGAATTCAGAGCAAGAAGTCAATTTGAAAGCAAGCTAAATATATCAAATTCAGGAAATGCAGAGTTAAAATTCATAAACCAATTTCTCTCTGTTCACAGAATGAATTTAGCCTTGCATGTTTCATTTTTTTTTATCTTACAGCTGTCCATGGCATGTGGCATATCTTGGCCAAAAATATTTGTATTTATGCATCATGAAAACCACAAATCATAGTTGTAAATACCAGGGTACTAGAAGAGCCCCTTAAATCATACAAATGTAGTTTTTATCAATACTTCATTATCTTCAATATCATAACATTTTCAGCTGGACTTTTTTAACAAAAAAAGCCAGATCAGAAGGCTGATACAGGTTGAGGATGTATTCAATTCCCCAGCAGTTCACATGTATACAACAGTACAATGGTTGTACAATGCAACATATGACCAAAGTCATATGTGATGATTCATCTTCCTCTAATGGTTATTCTCAGTCTTAAAGCTTTACATTCATACATATACTGATCTATGTTCAGTGACACACGTTCTCTTAGGAGTCAAACTTGCAAGGTGTAGAACCTCCTTGACAACCCCCAAAGGACTTAATAATGTGGTATGTGATTGATAGACTATGATTCCTACCTAGTGCCATTGACGTCTGTGAACATTTTGTAGGCTTGCAGGACTTTGAGTAAAATGGTCAGAACGGTCAGCTTTACAAACTGGGCATTTGCTGGTAGCATGTTATTTGTTTAATCAATTGCTTATAAATAAAATCTACTATTAATTATGTATGATTATAGAGAAGGAAAACTTAGAAGATTGTTAATAAAAAGCCATGCTGGTGCCTGTGGCAGGTGTATCACCCCAAACCCCTGACAACACCAGCTCTTTGTCCGCTGACAAAGAGCTGTATGTATGTGTTCCTATGGGTCCAAAACAGATAAGTTTAGAGTTCTTAATTGATACAGGGGCCCAAATTAGTGTTTTAAATAAGCAACAAGCTGATGAGTTAGGAATGACACCATCAAGGAAAGCTATGAATATGTGAGAGTAACAGGTGTAGCAGAGAGAAGTCCTTTAGCCTGAACCCAGTTTTGGCTACCTAGGAAAAGCAGATGATGGCTGTGGAAGTGGCTCTGAGCCATTGTAAGGGGAATATATTGGGATTTGATGTATTAGTGGGCAAGCGGTGGTGCCTAGCTAATGGTGGAGTGTGGAGTTTTGGGAGCTGTGGGGTGGAAGCTGCCTGCGCTAGGATCCTGCAGCTTACTCCCACGCTGCCACAGCCTAGAGTAGCTTGCGTTCCTCAGTGCCTGCTGCCAGGCACGGCAAGGCGGGGTATTGCAGGGATGACTGATGACCTCAAGAAGAGGCAGATAATAAGTCACACCCACTCCCCTGATAATTCTCCAGTCTGACTGGTTTGTAAGTCTGAAGGCAGGTGGTGTTTAACAATTGATTATTGGTACCTGAATGCTAATACAGCCCTGCTAACAGCTGCTGTACCAAACATTGCAAACTTAAAAGCTACTTTGCAAGCAGTTGCACACCCGTGGATGGCAGCGCTAGATGTAAAAGATAGGTTCTCTACAGTTCCCTTGAAGGAGGAGGAGGACAAAGAGAAGTTTTCTTTCACTTGGGAGGGAATACAATATATCTTTAACAGACTGTCACAGGGGTATTAACATTCACCCACAATTGCTCATGCTGCACTTGCTGAACTTTTAAAGACAGTCTCACTCCCTCAAGACATGAAACTGTACCAATACATAGATATTCTGAATGAAGGAAGTTCCCCTGAGAAGGTGAGGGAAGCAGCAACAGCAGTATGGCAAGCACTAAATAAAGCACAAATTGAGATTCCACCCAGAAAATGTCAGGGATCAAGTATAGAAGTAAAATTTTTAGGTACTTGGTGGATAGCTGGAGCAGTTGCTGTACCCAATGATGCCCTATCAGCTATTGAGAAGGGGCAAACTCCAGGCAGCAGGACAGAGTTGCAGCAGTTGCTGGGTATATTAGGTTACTGGAGAAAGCACATACCAGAATTCTCAGCTATTGCTTGCCCATTATGTGATTAGCTTCGAAAGAACAGAAAATGGGATTGAACTCTGCAACATACAGAGGCCTTTAATGTCTTAAAGGATGAACTTAAGACTTATCAGAGACTGGGCACACTATCTGTTGAGGGTAGAGTAGAGATTTGCAGAACATGCTTCCTACTGTGGTGTATTCCAAAATGGACTGCGAGGGCCACCCAAACCTTTGTTATTCTCTTCTTCCTCTTTTAAGGAAGATGAACAATGGTATTCAGAGTGGTAAAAGGGACTCCTTTCACCTATCATGGCGGTTAAGGAATCGAAGAGGCTACATACTTTGCTACCCTATTTTGGCATTGTGCTCACAATCCTGGCAAAAGCTAGAGCCTTATATGCTTGTGAAGCCCTAGATGGGAGTGGAAAGACCCACTGTATTTGTGCCCAGTGGATAACCCCTGATGCCTAAGCTGGAAGCCCGGTTCCAAGGAACCAAGGCCCAGCTTTATATTTTCTTATAAGACAATGGAGAAAGGGATCACCCTGTCATTTCTACTAGTGATGGTGGCAGCGGTTGGTGCAGACAACTCAGACCTGGATGACAATATGATAGCAAAGATGATAGTAGGGTTTGCTGGAACAATGGGAGTCACTCTGGTACAGAAGCACCAAGCTATTCTAGACTTAGGCCTGCAACAATGACAAGGGGGCGGGGGGTGGGTATGCTTTCTTTGACCTCTTCTGGCTGACAAACCTGTAAAAGCCCTTATTATTCTTTTCATCCCTTGTCAAGTTTAGTTCCATCCACACCTTGGCCTTCCTGACCCCATCCCTACACAACAAGGCAGTGTCCCTTTACTCTTCCCAGGATACTTGTCCCTGCTTCCACTGCCTGTGCACTTCCTTCTAGCCCTTTAGTTTGACCAGCAGATCTGAACTCAGCCATGCTGGTCTCTTGCCTTCCTTTCCTGATTTCTCACCCCTGGGAATCAAGAGCTCTTGCACTCTATGGAAAGTGTCCTTAAAGATCTGCCAGCTGATCCAGTCCTGTTCCATCACATACATGTACAGTAGCTTTTTATAGCTGAGTAAATTTAATTTTAGATTAAGTTTTTATTCAGATTTGAGGACAAATAATAAAGAGAGAGGAAAAATAAATGAGAATAATATTATTAATCTTCTTCAGAGTATGTGAAAATATCTGGTCCAATCATTTTTTTTTTCATTATTATGGACAATTATAAATTTCTGTCACACCAAAACCTCACTTTCCTTTAAAAAAAAATTCTTAGAGAAAGATATGCAAATAATTCTTTTGCCAGTGGGAATTTTCAATGGCTGTTTCTTTTTCCCTGAAAAATGCCAATAAATAAAATACACAGCTAATGTTGATTATGGATGATATATATAACATTCTGGAAAAACAGAAAGAAGTATAAATTCACATCCCCCTCTGGCCAAATGTGATGACGTATCAGTAAAATTACAGCATTATTAGTTTAAAGTCTGATTCAATTTACATATGTTCAATTACATTTACAAATGTTATACCCTAATTCTTGAGCACAGAATTAAAAAGTACACTTGAAGTTTCTTTAATCTGTAGAGTTGTCAACAATTCTTATCATTCTATCTGACAGCTACAAATGGCTGTATATGTCATATTGTGAGGGAAGAAACGTCAGGACAAGGTGCTGCAATAGAATTATTGAGAGGAAGGCACAGACACCAGCAAAAAACTAGTCTGCATTATTTGGATTTCAAGCTTGGAAGGTGTGGATTATGGTACTCAAATTTCAGTAGCTTAAAAATAACAGAGCATGTCTATCAGAACTAAATTGAGAATACTTTGCAGTACAAAAAAACCTGATATAGTCACTGGAATTCTTTGAGGTATATTGTCCAAACATATCTTTCATTTTGAATACCCTTCAAATTTAAACTATTTTATTAGCAACACGTGCCTAAGTAGCACATGACCCTGAAAGTCTTTAATTCAAAGGGAGAGTTGAAAGGGCATTATGGTCCAGGTCTATGCTGAATTCTGTTTCTTACAGGATTTGTAGGAGCTAAAAGTACTACAGCTACAACACATTTCAAAGGAATTAGGTCACTTTACAGGTGAACAACTTTTCCTTTGTTACCATATCTCTTCTCCATTACTGTAGTGGTATTTCAAAAAATGGTATGTTCTTTCAGACTAGTTAGAGCAACATTAAAATCCAGCTATGTCAAAAAAATAATCCAACCTGAGTCAAAGAAAACCATCCAGCAATATTTCCACTTTTCTATTGCTCTTACAGTGGAAAAATGTGCAAAATACTAAATGACTGCCCTGCATATGTCCAAAAGGGAAACAATTTGCAAAACAATCCAGAAGCTTAAAGGCTTTAATAAAAAATATTCAGAAGCTGCATCAGTGTAAATTTTGGTAAGCTTTATGATTACAAAATATCATGGATGGTGCCTAGGTTAGAATTCATTGACACCTCTATATAAATGAAACTGTTTAACTGTGACTTGCAATCAAGCTATTTATGCCATCAAAGAAAGAGACAACTTCCAGAACTAAAGGTTTTAACAGTAATAAGAAATAAAGTTTCAGATTTGTTTTTTTTAGAGCGAGAACAGCAGAACTGGAGAAATCTCAATTAATGAAGACTAATAAAGGTGAAATTGAGAACTGATGTCTACAATATTGCAAATATTGGTCCGTGATTCTTGAATAAGGAACCTTTAGCCTGTTTTCCCTTTAATCTCTAGAAAATAATGCTTTCAGTTTTTCTCAGAGCGAAATTTTGATCCTAAACCAAAACCTTTTTCATAGAATTATAGAGAACTGGATAAACCAACTATTCCAGCCATTAAACAACCTACAAAACATCTGTGGCTATATCTACATCATTAGAAAGTTGTTCATGACAAGCCAGAACAAGAACAACCTCCTTGTGTTGATCCACTTGCCTTAGTGGACACTTTGCATATGACTATGATTTTCATGTACATCTGGTAGTGTGGTAAGTTGAGGACATGATCCAAAGTACACTTTTGGTGTTCCACATTGTCATTACTATTTACTTACTGTCTTCACAGATAGTCTGATCTTGCTGTTGTCCCAAGAGAAGTCCAGAAAGTACTATAGTGTCATAAGTCAATAATTGGGTACTGTAATTTTTAAGTTTCAGTGCGATTATAGCTTTGTGGCTAATGGAGGCCATGTATTGGCAAATTCAATGGATATGTTTTGACCTTCTATCCCTGCTACCAGGGATCATTGTGCTGAAGCATTCAGAGATGTTTGTTTCCGTTATGGTATTACCCAAGGCTTCTATGTTATTTGCTACATACAACAACAATGTAACTGCACTACTTCAGCTGCTACTGAGACCTTCCATCATTACCGCACACACACAAATGTATATAAATATGATTATTCTATTTACCATCATGAGACTGATGGAAATGTTGTGTAAAATAATACCTAGTCTAGTCCACATTCTTTGTAGAAGCATACACATTATCTACTTACTAATGCATTCAGGTAGAGTTTTGTCCCAGTGGCCATTTGGTTGACAAATTAAAACTGAAGAGCCAAATAAAAAATATCCAGGATTACAGTCATAAAATACCACTGTGCCATATGTGAAATTTCCATGTTCGATTTTACTTTCTCTTATAGAGTTTGCAGGAATTCCAGGATCAGAACAATTGACCACTAAAAAGAAAAAAAGCACAGACTTGAGAGTCATACAAATACAGGCTACTAAAATGGTCTTTAAATGGTCTCCTATCCTTTGCATAAGAAACCTCCAATGTGTTGCTACCCTGATTTTATATATCCGGATTTTATATATATTGATAGTGAATTAGGAAGATATGAAACCAGGAGATGCTAAATCCATGAGACGCTAAACTCAGAGAAAATAAAAGGAAATGTTTCTTCATGGAGGGTGAAGATGCTGTAAAAGTATTAGCCGCTAAAAGTGACTGGACATAACAATATATTCAATTTATACTCTTGCCGGGACACGAACTATTGCCTACAGCTGGAAACAGGTTATGAGGCTAGATGTCCCTTTGTTCTAACCCACACAGCCATGCAAATATACTTATGTTCCTATACTAATATTTTGATAATGAAGCACCTTTGAGGGAGATATTTTGAGCTAAAGGGCACACAGTCAATTAGATAAGACTGTGGTGATTTTGCTAGACAGGGAAATATCCCAACAAATGAGTATGTGAAAATATGGGTATACTTTGATGGTTAAGAATACTGATGGATATTTTAAGTCTTCAACTACTTTAGGATTCATATGTTTGATATCACTGAAGATTTTCACTTTCTTGTGATTAACAACTGTCTGGTGAGGGAAGTATAACACTTATTTTGGGGGTCATGGAGATTTTTCTAACAGTTTCTATGCAATAGATTCCTCTGGTCAAGTAAACACATCTTCACCTACCCAAAGTTACTCTAGAAAACTAAAGTTTATGTAAAAATTATTATCCCTATATCCTTATAACATCCTTATAATAAATTGCATGTTTATATGCATACATATGTATGTACTTGTGTGCAAATATACATATAATAGAACTGCGTTTGTACATACATGGATGTGTGTACATAAAAGTATCAAAAATGCTAAAAAGCTCTGCAATCTACAAAGAAGAAAAAAAAAAAGCTATTGCCAGATGCAATTTAAGATCATTTTTCCTACCTACATCATTCAATGTAGTTATTTTATGGCTCACTTACTTCTGTCTAGTCACTATCACTAAATGTTGGAGTCTGCTTGTGTGCTCCTCTTACTAGTTCTAAAATATTGGCATCACAAGACTAGAATACATACATTTTTCCAGGTTAGAAATAACTTTCTGGTTGGATTTGATTTCTTTAACATTAGATGATAGAACAATGTTTTTAGTTATATTGATGGACAGTGTTGAAAATTTGTTATTTTTTTTCCTGGAAGAAAATTTGAGCTATATTTGTATCCGTTTTCATTTTTGTAGACAAGAATTTTGTAACAATTGAACATTCATTTTCATGTTATTAAGCATGTACTTTAAGTAATGAAAACTACGTATTAATAAATCTGGAGTAGTGAACACTTGAAAGAAAATACAAGAGGCTTTGACCATTTCAATAGTTTTCCACTATTATTATAGTTGGCTAGGAAACTAGCTATTTAGCAAAGTGGTAGACAGTGTAACAACAGCAAGTGCACTGCTGAATTTGTATGTTGATTGCAAATTGAGCCTTCACAAAGGAGTGCAGCCTTTTCTATAATATTGCACTTTAGGCAGTTTACAAATATGCAAGGTAATATATTTTTTTTCTATTTAACTTCTATGCAAATAGAACAAAATCATATTAATTAGATTTTTTTTCACTTCACATTACAGACATCACTAATAATGTTTTACACAAAGTTGGTTCTTTTTATTTTTAAAGTCTGTTCTAAAACTAATAGAAGATTTCAGGACTGTGTAAAGTTTCAAAGAATAACCTGATCAACTTATTTACTGATCCCTACAGGCCAATAACATATCAGACAGTTTGGTACATTACTCTGCAATGCCCAAACACCAGTGTGATTTATAGCAACTGGACTGAAAACGACATTTATTAGGTACGCTTAATACACAGTACATGTTTAGTATTGTAAATTTAAAAAATAATAACTTCTCATTAACAAAAAAGTCCTTCAAAATTCAAGTTCTGTAAACTATTTGTCTCTATTAGCTAAGGCAAAATGACCAAAGGACAGAGGAGAACTCCTATTGGACGGAAAATATAGTAAATGAAATTGCTATAAATACATAACATGACTTAGGCTATGTACAGAAAAAAATCCATAGAAGCTCCTGGGAAGATGCTGAAAAACAATCAGTACCATTTCTTCATACGTGCATTTCTCTAAATGAGAACAAATGAAACATTTAAAAAACACATAACAATAGACTTTAAAAGGACAATGGTGGTAAAACCTTTCTAAAAGTGCTTATGAAAAGTCAAACAGAAATAATGTCATAATACTCATAATTTTAAATATAATATCCAGAGGTGTTGAGAACCAGCCCAAATCCATTATGCTAACAAATTAGAATAAAAATTTTAAAAGTCAAGATGAGCATTCAGATCAATGGAAATGTAAAAGAAAAAATAAAGTACATTTTCTTACGCACCAATTAGAACTATGTTGGCTAAAAATGCAGAGAAAATTATTTCAGGATGTCAGCTCTTTATTATCTCTGCATAATTTTGCTTAAGGAACTTGTAGAAACCATTTTTAAAAATCAATACACACTACAGACACATAACAAAGTTTCTCTGCAATAGTTATCCTGGCAACCTGAATGTAGAACAGACCTAACTGAAAAATCATAGAATCACAGAATCATGAAAAATCTTTAATAATTTGATGCCTGGTAGGGTCCCTTTACCTTCATTTATTTTTCAACCCTAATTTTCCAACTAAGTTCTAAATCTGTAAATGCTTGCATTCTTACCTTTGCATATTGGAGGTGGGTGGCTCCACTGCCTATTAGCCTGACACTGTGCTTTGGTTGGTCCTTGCATAACATACCCAGTATTACATGAGAATGTCACAACATCATTGAAGTTGAAACCATTTCCACTTGTTCTTCCATAAATAGGACTACCAGGGTGACCACAGCTAACAGCTAGCATAGCACAAAACAAAGAAACAAAAAACAAACAGAGCATGCTGTTACCACTTTTCATGATTTATGATAGAGATAATCATTATCATCACTACATATTAGTATTTTAAAGTTTTGATATTATGAAATACTGAGTACTTTCCATGAAAGATTGACATTTCTCTGAAGTAAAAAAGAACTAAGACATATTTTAGTAAATGTTCAAGCACTTATTTAAATATTTAAATAAACTAAATAGCATTTGCCATGCAGTAATAAAGACAAATTAAGAAAACTTTTCTGAAGAACCAGGAGAATAGCAAGTACTTGATTTTCATTACATATAGTCTGAGACTGAAAGGAAATATTTCAGTGTGTTAGTTTCTTGGATAATATTTCTTACAAATATGTCTTAGTATTGACTCACTCTGTTTTATCTTTGAGGCCTAATTACTTAGTGAAGTTATAAATTCATGACTGGATATATGAAACAGTATAAGCACTGTGAAACTTTTCTTGTATTCATACAAAAACTCACTACAAAAAGTAAAATCCTTTTCTGTGCCAACAAAGACTAGATGCAAAAATAGTAAGGGAAATAAAACACAAATTAATTTTCCCAAAATAATTAGAATAAAACTATAAATATTTTCTTCTATGTTTTAACAAACTCCAATTGGTGTTAAATGAACAGTTCATCAATAATTTAAAATAGCCGCCCCAGAATAAATTATTTAACTCTCAAATTTGTATCACTTTAGAAAATTCAGTATTTTTCTAAATTAATTTTTTTAGGTCTGACTAATATATGCTCTTTTTCTCCATGTAGAATGGACTTCTCATGATAACTCTAAAAGAAACCAATTCACATAATCTAAATAAAATAAAACTTTTAGCAACATCAAAAAAGTGAAAATGATCCTTAAGAACTAGTATAGCTTACAGACAAGTGACAGTATATTCTACTACTGAAAGTTAAATTGAATTCTGTATCTTCAATTAGTATCACTAAGTAAGTTATTGTAATTAAATGTATTATCTTTATGTTACTGATATCAGAAATTTTTGTATGAGGAGTTGCATTTTTGCCCCCAAAGAATAATTGGAATCATACACTAAACTGTTAATATTTGTAAAACTGTCAGGCAAAAAAATGCATTCAGCCCACAGATATGCTTTTAATGGACATATAATAACAATAAAAAATATTCTTTTGAAAACAGAAGTATGAAATTTGATAAAATTTTAAATAATATCCATGCATATACAGTAGAAATACACAACAGTAGTAAGACATCTGCCCACTGTATAAGCAAGAAGAACGGTGAATTCAAAAGTGAAAATATCAGAATCGCTAAATTTAAACACATTATCTCAAAACTTCAGTTAAAACATCTGAAGTTAAATAAATAGAGACATCTGAGACTATTTTTCTACACTTCATTTGAACCTCTGATCCGAAGTGGACCTGTTCCTAAATATCTATCACAAAGTTAGAGGTAGCTGCTCTTTATAGCAGCCTTTTGCAAGTCTAAGCTTTTTCCCCAAGTCTTGTGTCCTTTTCTGAACTGTTGTATTGCACATCCTCCTGTATTCAAACAAGTAGCTTCCATTTTCTCTGCTGTTAGCACATCAAAACCAATTTTTTTTTTCACTTCTAACATTAACATTTTAATTTAGAAATTCTTGATTAATGGTGTCTAATTTTATTGCCTTAACAGTTACCTGTAGTGTGTTGATCTGAAATGTAATATAAAGAAGTAATGATCTATTACTATATCATAAAGTGGAAACAAAATTAAGAAATACAATCATAGTAGTGTTATGTATATCTAGTTCTATGTAAAACAAAGTAAACACTGAGCAGTAACAGTAATCAATTAACATGTATTATGATTCATTCAGATAGTTTCTGCTACAAAAAATGTAGCTATAAAAATAGAATATTTGGAGGCGGATTAATATATTTTCAATACACTGATATTACTGAACCTGAATTATTGAAACATAGTTGTGATTTGCTTGAGAATTCTTCAAGACCTCTCAAATTTCCCTAAATGGAATAGAGCATTTTCTATTATTACTTAATGGTATTTCATGTGGTATGTTGACATGCTCATCACACAAAAGGAGCCTCATTAACAAAATACAAAATCCATGCTAAAAAAGCCAAAACCCAAACCAGAAAACAAAATAACAGTATCTCTGTGAGGAGAAGAAAAAAAAAGTATAAGTTTGTTGAAGAAAACATTTTAATCATCAGTGCTGACAGCATATCAAGAATATCTACTTATCTAACTACTGCAGTCGAAGTAAATCTACATTTAATATTTCCAAAAGCCACTAAGGGACATAAAGCAGTTTTCAAATTTGAGTACCTGGGTGCCCAAATCCCATCACTTTTTGAAGAAGTTTCATATTCACATATAAATTACAGTTATTTTGTAACCAAAAGATGCAATGGAAATTTTAAGTGACAACACTAAACTTCACCTGATAGATGAATCACAGATTTTAGGTGCCCACACACTTTTGAGGATCTGTTTTAAATCTTTTTTTTTTTTTTTTAAATTAATACTAAGTTGCAAAGTCACTCCTCATGTTGTCTGACAGAGACATCCCTGTAACATAAATCAGTATGTGTTGCCATGCTTACTTACGCACACAAGATGGAAGCTGACCAGACCAGTTGTGATCCTGTTGACATATTCGTACAGAAGAACCAATCAACCGAAAACCAGGACTGCACTGGTATACAACTGTGTCTCTATATCCATAATTTTCTCCAATTACTTGACCATTGACTATAAGGTCTGGAATACCACAGTGACCAGCTAGATTTTTCAAAGTAAATAAATAAATAAATCAGTAAATATTCCAGAGAAATTTTAAATATACCTTCATAATTAAAACAAAGAAATGCTGAACATCTTTCAATTTTTTCTATTGACTTCATTCAAAGGTTTATTTTTGTCAACTTGGGGAAAACTGCAGTATTGCATTTATATAGGTAGGATTGTATACATAGAAAAAATTACAAAAAGACAGTGTAGCAAAGAGATTAAATGTCATATATGTTATCAGATTTCTTTTCAAAAAATATGAGTAACTCCTTTTTCTTAAAACCTGTAAAATTCTGTATTATTTCCTTTAGTTTTATTTTGGTTAAGATTAAACTTAATAAAGTTAACATTACACCATTATACATTTAAATAAATACTAAAAATCCATATAAATACAAATAAAAATATTATATATTATAAATATCAATCCATTATAAATATCAATCCATATAGCCTTCTTACAATTTATTGGACAATTGATTATTGGAATCTGACTCTCTGGATTGTCTTACATTTTTTCTTTCCCAGTGATCCCAGAGGAATCCCAAAGAGATTAACATATTTGGGTTAAAGGCAGTCAGTGCAACTACACCCAAATGTCCTGCAACCAAAACCCTTTTGATATCTTCCCCTAATCTTCTACTTTGTATTCTCAAAATATGAGAAATATTTTATTTACACCAAGAAAGTCACAAATAGACATCTAACCTAGAGAGAGGCAGGGAAAAAGAATGAACCATGTGTCATTTGTTACTATTTTTCTTAATGAACTCTGGAAAATGGGCACTGTGATTCAGCAAATAATGTGGTAATGGAAGATCCTCTGAGAATGGTTGATCTCATGAAGACTGTGACATATAGCAGAGAACTCACTGCAAAAACAAATAAGGCAAGCAAGAAAAATAAGCAGTGTTTCAGCCAGTGCTTTAGTAAAAAAAAAAAATATTGCCAGCCACCTAAACTCCTCTGTTCTACTTTTCTCCTCTACTTCTCCTCAACCCCCTCCCCCCAAAACAAACCCCCAAAACATGGGGTTGCTAATCAGAGAGGACATTCAGAAACAATATAGTTTAGGTGTTTATTTTCCTTTGAGCTTTTAAGTGTTTATAATGATCTGATGTAATTTCCAGCATTTTGCCTCATTCTTTCAGGGCTAGAAACTTCCTATAAAAAAACCCCTGCAAATCTGAGATTTTCTTATAACTTATGTCTGACAACTTAAGCCTCGTATAGTATTTCATCGTATGAATCATGATAAAATCATCAGAATTTACAATATAGCTAGTATGTGAACCTTCACACAGATTAAACTGATGAGTGCAATTTGAATGTCTGTATAAGGAACAGGAGTCCAAATCTGGTACTGTTCAAAGGTATATTCCCCCGTTTGTCCCCTTCCCATTTACCTCAGTGTTACATAAGGACTAGGCATACTTTAAATTTGTTTTATGGTTTTTGGCATAAGATGGCATTATATACGTTTATAAAATTTTTGTTAGAGTACTTCTTGATTCTCCAGGAAAGTTGTAATCTGTTCAGTACATAGTAGACTTTCTTGAACATGCCACAATGAGCCCAATTTCTCTATGTTATTTGTGATTATAAACAGGACTAACCAAATGAGGAATAAAAACTGAGCTGGAAACGATCAGTTTCTGTCAGAAGTGCAACCAGGCAGTTTGCAGTGATTCAGATGTCCAAGGAAATATTTTTCTAATTGCATTTAATTACAATATTTGTCCTAGTTCTTAATTAAGATTTTAGTGTTGCTTTATGGCAGTAGAGTGGAAGTAGAATACATCACCAGAAATGTCAAGCTCTGTTTCCTGTGCAGAGGGAATGAAACTGAAGTAATTCAACACATCAGGTGACTAAGATCACACTGCAGTTTCTGCAACTGTGTTGGACATTACAAAAAACACACAACTGCAACAGATGAAAAATTAATTGTAAATCACCTGTAGTCTTGCATTAATGTCTCCCTCTAGTGTGATAAAATTTAAGATAACTTAAAATTTCTCGCTTTCTCAGCCTACTTCCTCTCATTGTCATGAACCTCTCAGACCCTAGTTTTGACTTCTTTTGACTTTTGAGTTTCTTTTTTTCTTTCTTCTTTTCTTTTAACTTTCTTTGGTATCTTCTGTTGACAAGAGGAGACCAGTGGATGTTGTTTACCTGGACTTCAGTAAAGCATTTGACACTGTTTTCCACAGCCTTCTCTGGACAAACTGGCAAGGTACAGATTGGGTGAGTGGTATGTGAGGTAGGGAACTGGCTAACAGGCCACACTCAGAGGGTCGTGATCAATGATTTCTACTCAGGCTGGCAGCCTGTCAGAAGTAGGATTCCCCAGGGATCGATATGGGGCCTCACACTGTCCAAGATCTTCATAAATTATTGCATGATGGAATTGAAAGCACTGTCACAAGTTTGGTGATGGCACCAGACTGGGTGGTGACATGAATACACCTGAAAGGTGAGCCATCTCACAGAGAGACCTGGACAGACTGGAAAAGTAGGCTAGCAAGAAGTATAAGAAGTTTACAAAAAGTGCAAGGTCCTGTACCTAAGAAGGAATAACCAAAGAGCCCAGTAAAGGCTAGGATCTGTGTGGCTGAGTAGCAGCTTTGCTCAAAGGGACCTGAGGGTCCTGGTGGACAACAAGCTGACCATGAGTCAGCAGTGCAGGCAATGAAGGCAAATCAGACATTACTAGCAGAGACAGAAATGCAATCGTCCCACTCTACTCAGCACTTGTCAGGCTGGACCTGGAGTACTGTGTCCATTCTTGTCCCCACCACTGAAGAAAGATGCAGACACACTGGAAAGGGTCCAAAAGAGGGCCGTGAAGATAATCAAAGGGCTGGAGAGCCTGCCCTGTGAGGAAAGGCTGAAGGTGTTAGTCCCTGAAGAAGAAAAGGCTCAAGGGGGACCTCATCACAGTATTTCAGTACTTAAAGGGCAGCTATAAAGAGAACAGAGACTCTCTTTTCACAAGGAATCACATGGAGAGGACAAGGGGCATTGGGTACAAGTTGCACTGGGAGAGGTTTCATCTTGACATAAGGAAGATTTTTTTTTACAGTAAGAACAAATATTCACTGGAACAGCCTCCCCAGGGATGTGATGGAGTCACCATCACTGGAAGTTTTCAAGATGTGACAGGACAGAGTGCTGGATAATCCCACCTCAGGTCCCTTTCCCATGAAAAGTTGGATCAGGTGATCTTTCACGGTTCCTTCCAACCTGGGCTGTTCTATGATTCTATTATTTCAAATCATTCTGCCTTGATTATTTCCTCCCACTCTGTACAACAGTTACATCTTTGAAGTACGAACTATATTGCATGACTAATTGTGAACAAGTCACTATTAGCAAAGAAGTATATATATTTTTAAATAGTAGAGCCTACTCCTATCTCCAATATCAAGACAAAAAGAAGAGTAAGAAAAAAAAGCCAAACCAACAAAAAAACCCACCACCATTCACACACATATCTGGAAGAGTGTTATTTAATTCCTTTTCCATTATATTCTGGTTTTGTTGTATTTATTCTAAAAGCAAGGTGTTTATTTATTTTTCTCATGACTATTAGTAGAATGCTTCCCTTTTGTCATTTTTCGCTTAAGATAACTATGAAAAAAAAATTCCAAAATGTTCATTATACATTAAGGATACGCTTTTATTCATTATTGCATATCCCAGTAGCTTTTATGATTGTCTGCTCTTGTTTTTCAGAATTTCCATTTAAACTCTTATTTTAAGGGATTTGTGACAAATAAAGATATTTATTTCCCCTTATTAACATTCTGAAATGAATTTTTGAACTGCCATTCAGTAGCATTTGATGTTTTTCTTTGTGTATTATGTGTTTGCATCTATACGTCTATCTATATATATATAAAAATAGTGAGTTTGCAGTTTTGAAGGGTTTTTTGATTGTGGCAAGTTTTCAAAGCTTTCAGATTACTGATGATTCTTTGGTAGTCTGAGAAAAACAAATACTGCACACCTATAGTTTTCTGAGAAACTGTCTTTGTTTCTGAATGAGACATACCTATTGTGCAATGGCATCATAGGTCAATTCTGTTCTTTCCTTTTATCTCACAGCTGTATCCCTGCAACCTTTTTCCACTTACTTGTTTATATTATGTATATATAATCTACCATTTAATTGATGTCAGTTTTGTGGCACTGTTATAAACAAGAAGTAACATACCATTTCACTACTACAAAAAAATAGTGCAAAGCCATAAAGGGACATGATTTTAAATCTGTTCTTATTTGAGCAATATGTCATATTTACCCCAATTGAATTGTTATGGAAAAGGAACACTTTAGTTGTGAAATTTGGTATAATGAAACTGAATAAAATTATAAAACTGGTTGTTGTAATAACTAGCCTTTATTCAATATAACTATAAGATGTGGTTAACTGTCTTTTGCAATGAGATAGCTAAATTATTCCTCCTAAATGCAACCCTGATACAAAATTACTCAGCAGCTAAGCTCTGCAGTTGGAGTGTTTTCACTGGGGACTGAATGCAAATATTGTAAACTGAGTATTATATTGAGAGAGTTCTCTGTAAATACAAACAAAATCTGCCAGAAAAACTATGGCAGAAAACTGAAAACAGATGTAAAAAGATAAGGAAGTAGAAAGCAAAGGACTGCTGAGAAAAAACTAAAGAATACTGCTGGGAAAACAAACATTCAAATACTGAGCAACAATGTTGTCCTTTTTTTTTAATTTTTCCTGTTGGCCAGGAAATTTATTTTGAAATAGATAAAAAAGCATTTAAGAAATACTGATTCTATTACCAATTTATATTCCTGTTTAAATAGCCAATAAGTCATCAAATATTTACTTATCATGGATAAAAGACTTAATAGTACTGTTATTATCTAATGGAATATCACTTTTTTATCCCCAAACTAATATTCTGATTCTAAGGCCAATTACAAGCAAATACAAAACTGTTGTAGTCACC